GATATTGCCGTGCACTAAAATATAGCTAATAAAAAGAAAAAAAAAGTCTCATTGATTAAATTACTGTGATCCTGCCCGAAAGAATTTCAAGTGTCGCGACTATTGAGGATTCCTTTTTGCTTCAGCTTACACGGAAATATTTTGTACTTTATAGTTTTACTAGAATGAAAGCTTAGTTCTTTGAATTACCAAAAAAAAAAGAGGATTTCCAGTTATGCTAGTTTTTACGACATAACTATGATTTTTCAGTTTACAGGGATGGATTTTTAACTTGACATTGTTGCTAGAATGTTCTCTGACTCACAGGGAAGAAAATTTGAAGTCCGTACGACTTGTTAGGACTTAATCACAGTTTTTCAGTTTACAGGGATGGATTTTTAACTTGACATTGTTGCTAGAATGTTCTCTGACTCACAGGGAAGAAAATTTGATGTCCGTACGACTTGTTAGGACTTAATCACAGTTTTTGAGTTTACAGAGAATCTGCAAACTTTCATACAACATAAAAGCTTGGTTGATATTTATTGATATGACGTTTGGGAAGGATGGCCTTCTGTAAGTGAATAAAAACTAACCTAAAAATGATAATCTGCCCAAAACGTTTTGCCAATAAATTTATGTGTTTTAGGTGGTTAAGGATGTTACGTCAAATCATTTTGTGTGTCATATTTTATCGCGGCATTTTTATCGATATTATCGAGTTCTGTTTTCGTTAAAATTTGGTTATTTAACTTACAAAATGACACATTGAAGTCATGGCAATTTGCTAGGTTGTGATCGCTGTTCTAAAGTTACAAAAAAAAACAAACAAGACTTGGAATAACACATTGTACGGATGTATAAAGACTGATTGTTTATTGTACAAAATAGATAATTTCAAGTTTGTACAATTTGTTATAGGATCTCAAAATATTTGGAAAATATATAGATTGAGATCAGAAGTCTGTACTGATATGAGGCCATAAGGATTATTGTTTATATTACTAAGAGACAAGTCCATGTCTATACTGGTAACTAGGATGTAAACACGACTTTCGAAAGATACAAAGTTCAAGACTACAGGGCGAAGAGTGTGTGATATAAGAATCATTGTTTAATTTGCAAAGAAGCACACAAGTGTTTATCTATTTCTTTTTCTGAATATATACCGGTTATATATATATATATATATATTGTACTTATTTATTTGAAATAAAGAGGGTGTCAGTCAAGTTATAGGATTTATTGGTTTGTAGATTGTAGAGATGATTTCATTAAGAGCCTTACCTCTTTACGAAGATGTGAACTTCGTTTTAAAATTAGAGATAGCATCGTTCCAGCTTTATCTTTTTATATTTAGATATTGTATAAAATAATCAACATTAAAAGACTTTCACGTTTTTCCTAGTTCTTAAGATGTGAGCATTGTTTTTGAAGCTATACATTCAGGGTTTTTCAGGTATATACACGAACATTTATGGCTTCGTGAGCCTATCACATTTGAAATATATCATGGTCTTAAAACATTAGTTCTTCAGATATATCAAAAAGCGGGTGAAAAAATAGGATACTTTAGTGCGTCTTTAATTGTGGCTCCAAAACGTCTAAGCTGGCGTTTTTAGGCCTAGCTGGTGTCTAGGCCTAAAAATGATTTTTTTCTTTATTTATATCTCTCATAAGTAGTCCTTTATGGACTTCAAATCAGATGTGTTAAAAGTAGTATTTCAAATCTGTCTGTCTGCCCAGGAGTCTTTTACTTTCACTTTCAGAACTTATTACTTGGGCTGGAACCAGATCAGTTAAAGTATATTTGAAAAACTATTTGTATGTAGTACAATTTATTGAATGCGGTGGTGTGTAATGACTAAACTGGCCTATTAGGTTCACTGGAAGCGATTGAAATCATGTGGGCCCGGCATGGCCAGGTGGTTAGGGCGCTCGACTCGCAATCTGTGGATCGCGGGCTCGAATTCCCCTCACACTAAACATGCTCGCTCTTTCAGCCGTGGGGGCGCTATAATGTGACGGTCAATCCCACTATTCGTTTGTAAAAGAGTAGCCCAAGAGTTGGCGGTGGGTGGTGATGACTAGCTACTTTCCCTGTAGTCTTACCCTGCTAAATTAGGAACGGCTAGCGCAGATAGCCCTTGTGTAGCTTTGCGCGAAATCCATAACAAACAAAATCATGTGACTGA